GATTCGGTCATGATTTCGGATATGGCTGACTAAACACAGTCAACAATAGAACAGTAGCAGTAGGTTCGTGAAAATACCCAAATGCAGCAAAACGAAAAAATATTTTCTAAAAATGTATTAGTTACTCTACGTAGCGCAAAAAAGTGTGTATGTAGATCGAGAAAAGTAAAAACAGGTGGTTATTGAAAACGAGTATTCGTAAAAAGGTACCAATAATCAGGAAAATGGAACGGGCTCACCAGTTTAGAGATAGACGCATGCAATTACGCGACCTGCGACAACGATCCGATCTCTAATTCTCCCGTGTTTCTCGCGCACCCGGTATGGATCAGGAAGAACACCCGGTTAGTCGAGGGAAAGTATATTGTTCCCTGAAGCACCGGAGTTTTAGCCTGACTATGCTCGAGTGTCTGAAACCGAAAAGTGCTTAGCGAGAGAAGGTGTAGCACTGAACTCACGCACCGTTAAAAGTGAAAGTTACTTCACCGGATGTGGCAGTGACTCAAACAAAGATGAAAGACCTAGCTGAAGAAGCGGTCTCAGGATATCGAAGATCCGGGCTGAATCTATGCTACAAAGGAGAAGGATGCACGAGCGAATGCTCCAAGCCATCAATGCCTGCAACCATGCGAAAGCATACATGCGGAACAGGCAGACAAAGGTGGTGACACTCTCGAGCATGTTACACTGTCGGTCTTGTGCTTCTACACTAACGCTCGATCTCGTGGTACACCTATCCTGATTTAGTCCGAACCCGCAAATGCGCCCAATTTATTTATATCATCCCGATTGATGCACTTCATCGACGTTAGCATATTGATTTTTCCTCTCCCCTTTCCCCTCCGTATTACACAGCCAACTAAGGACCATTTTCCTGTCTAACAACAGATGGCAGAACTAAATATTGGCGACCACTGTGCCAAAACCGACTGCAAGCAATTGGGTACGTTTCTGTCTTCTTCCATTTCGGGTGCCTTGGTTTACCAAGGAATGCATACTCTAGTCTACGATTCAAATTTTTTTTTTACTGGCTCATTTTGCTTTGTTTTGGTTGGTGATGAATATAAGTGCGTTACTCTGCCAACTTTCTGCGCAATGGGTTACCTTATGGAACTTCGATTGGGCAGGCGACCTGAGAGGGGTGCAAATATGGCATAGGAGAGGAAAATGAGATGCGTTAAACCGTAAACTCTCGAAGAGTTCATGACAAATCGATACCATGGATGGTGATACAAATGTCAACGGAATACTGAAATGGGGTTGATCTTGGCCTTCAGCGACACAAACCTCATTCAATTCTGACTACTTCCCAGTGATCAGCAGTATAGGTGAAACAGTAAGCATCTACTTGGTTGGAACCTGAACAATTCACTATGGTCAGTATACGGCAAAACTGACAGCTGTAAAAATGCTTAGTGGCCTTTTTGTCGGCGTTGTCTAGGACCGTGCTGTTACGATCATTTCTGGTGAAATACGGTGTCTCTCTGGTGTAGCGTACTATGGTTTTATTGCGTTTTTCCATTAGTTCATGTGCTTAACCATATACGTGTATCACCTTTCAGTAATGGACCATCGCGACGAGACCTCACCTTGACGTGGTGTGATGGTTTGCGCACCTCCATGATCCAACGAGCTACGCAGGATGGCTTTTACCGAGCCAAAGATCTAATCATGCCTGGAAAGTCAATGGGTAGAGGTCAGACGAAGTCCAGTCTCCTGGTCCTCCAGGTTTAGGGTTCGACTTGAGTCGGCGTCTCAGTCCATAAAACGTGTTGGAGGTATAATTGATCCAAGCGAATGGGCCTCCAGTCCGCCTTGATTGCTGCCTTGCTGTTAAGTTTTTGTGTATAAAGCTCCAATGAACACACAAACAAAAGATAATTTTATACGGCATCGGTCGTCGCGCAGGATAATCAGGACCGCGCTGCCCATTGCATCGAGCGGGGTGGGTAGTGATAAGTGGGCTACTGCTCAGATATCCCAACCTTTGTTTAACTCTTTGTCTTCCGTACCCAACCCTATCCCGTTATCCCTTCTGCCGACCCGTAACAGTCCCTCAGCCAACTTGGTCGTCACTCGCCAAAGGTCTTTGCCAAATAACACTATAGCCAGTCTTCCTGTAAAGAAAGTGCAGATTCTGAAGCCTCGTGAACCTCTCCATCTATGTGATTTGGAGTACGCCGATGATGTCGTCTGTCTGTTCGAATGTATGGAGGACGCGCAAAGCGCACTTGATAAATTAACAAATGCAGTGGCCACATTCGGTATGTGCTTTGCACCTTCAAAGTGCAAAGTGATGCTGCAGAAATGGGTTTCGTCTACTCCCACTCTGACACTAAATGGCCAGGATTTAGTTGTGATGGATTACTTTTCCTACTTAGGTAGTTGCGTGACCAATGACGGCGGTGCAACAAAGGAGATAACCGCCCGCATTTCCAAGGCTCGAGCGGCATACGTAGGACTGAAACACCTTTGGTGTATACGCGACGTTTTACTGAAGTTGAAAGGTCGTGTATATTGTGCTAGCGTTCGTTCAGTCCTGCTTTATGGTTGTGAGATCCTGAATTTGCGAGTAGAAGATATCCGTCGACTAGAAATTTTCGATTACCGGTGTTTACGTCGTTTAGTCCATTTTGGATGGAGCGAGGTCGTGTATACTGCACCAGTGTGCGGCCAGTTCTGGTTGCGAGACCCTAAATTTGCGCGCGGAATATATTCTTCTTCTTGAAGTATTCGACTGCAGAGGTTTACGTAGTTTGGCGCGGGTTGGATGGTGCAAGCTTGTAAGCGACTCGGATTTGAGGCGTCGCGTATTTGTTAATGATTCGATGGAGAACGTTTTGTCCCATCGAATTCAGATTAGTCGGCTTCGTTGGTTAGGGCACGCATTGCGCATGCCCAGCCATCGTCCGCCGCACCGCGCCTTATTCGCAGTTATGGCTCCAGGTTAGAAGAAACCGCGTGGTGGTCAACAGATGATGTGGAAGCGAGGCATGAAGAAATGCAGAAAACGATTAGGTAGAATCGGTGTCTCCCGTTTTCCAGGTTGGGATCCGAAGGACTCTGCAACTGGCTGGCTGGAGAAATTAAAGGATATGGCGACTAACCGACAGCAGTGGCGTTGTTGTTTTCATTTTTTAACAAGGCGGAATGCTTGAAAAAAGGTACGCATGAACACTCAGATTGTGTG